TTTTTTTTTTTTGAGTCATAAAAAGAAACAGCGAGATCAGTTGTCCGTCTGGGTTCAGGAACAGGTAGAGAGACTGGGACCGAACCATGAGGATGACGAGTTGTTACAAACTGAACAGTGCTTACATGAAGTAAGAAAAACAAAACTGCTTGGTTTTTGTTTTTTTGTCGGAATCTTAGTTTTTTTGTTATAATCTTTGTTCTGTTTTTTTTTCTCCGAGAATCCACTGCTACCTCATAGTAACCTCACTTGAGCTATCCTATCTTCGGTCGGCAAACTGATCTACTCACATCTTTTGTTATCTTTATCTCTATCGTTTCATAGTTGACCGAGGAAGTGCACAACATGGCGGAAAGAATAAGAAAGACTCGACCTCTTGTTGAAGAAGTGGCATCGAGCATCAGAGAACTCATTCAAAAAACTGGTTTGGGTTCGTCTGCCTAGCCTCGGCCATTTCCAGGTCAAGATTGTGAAATCCTAGTGTTCCCTTTGTGGATTTTGGACCATCAAGGGACGTTCACTCACAAGACGAGCTTCGTCTGCTCTACTGACCAAATACCCACAGAATGTGGCTAAATCGCAGCAGTAATGGGTCATGCTTGACGAAGGACGTGTTGAGTAATGAATGCTCTGAGTACAGTGGAGGCAAGTTAAATGGGACCGTTTCCTTTGCTATCAGTTCATCTAACACAACAAAATATCGGAAGCTAGGAAAAAATGCGAAACATGTGTCCACTCAACAATTGCAACGTAAGATGTAACTGGAATGGACAGGGAGAACCTTTTCCAGACTCATGTTCATTTCGTCTGTTCTTAAAATGTACGAGCCTGGACTACTGAGGCAGACTGATTCCTTCGGGATTAATATTCCTCTGTAAGTTGCGATTTATTGAATCCCGGAATGTTCTCCTCCAGATACGCCAGTAATGCTTTTCTGACTAAAAATAAAACAAACTGCAGTTTTAAAATTCTGTATTTTATTGTCTGCTTTATTTTGCAAATGTTTTCCACGGTAAGAGTAATGGACTGTGTCCTTTTAATCACGCCGCTTAGAGCACATTTTAATATTTCGAATTTAGATATGTTTTATATACGTTTTCTTAGCTCTTTTAAGTTCTATAAATTTTCCTTTCAATAACGAATTGCGTGACGGAATGTTCAGGAGGGGAGAAACTTCCATGGTAAAGTGACAGCGATGCTTTTTCAGAAATTCTGAAGAGAGCCCTAACGGTAATAGATGCCGTTTTTTGGGCGAGGCGCAAGTCCTAAGAGACACCGCGACGGTTGCATCCACAGCCACACCTACAAGGGCAGGTCTTATTTCCCACTCGTTTTGTAAATTTCTCGTTCTTTTCAGGCTTATTTCTCGAGAACTATATGTGTTGAAGATAAACACGCTAAGCGTACACGTCAATTGGGAAGTTTCTCGGGAAGAATTCTGCAGTTCTATGTATGTGTGTATGAGTCACGTGACCACAACCCCCCTATAGAGCACGTGACTACCTTGTGAGTCAATCAAAGCTGGCCACACGTGGTACTTGATCGCTAGAGATTTCATGTCCGAGGTCATGAACCGTCCATGTAGCTTGTCTGAGAACACTGTAGCTTCATACTCGATGATCATTGGTGGAATCTGGACTGCCATCATCCAGGACAAGCGCACGCATTCATCCATGTATTCTTTTAACTTTGTGCAGTTTTGTAACTCGGGGAAATCGTACAATGTGCTCCACAGTTGTTTGCTCACATCCTGACACAGGAAACAACAAATTAACAAATTGACGTCAGTGTTTCATGCGTCTGTCCTGTTATTGATCATGAATTTCGTCATAACATTGTCAAAGTAGCTGTGCAACCAGGAGCGATAGCCCCCAAATTGTCCGCCCTCGCTCGTTGACTTATCGCATTAATTCGTATCTTCATTGCAAATATGCTAACTGTTTTCAGACATAACTCTTCGACTTCAGATGATAGGTTTAGCCCTCTACAGTTTTCGATTTTTGTCTTGTTTTGCCTTACTTGAGATCTGTTACGGTTTCTTTTCCTCAATGCAATACTGGCTCAACAGTGTGTACAGCTTGAAAAGCTAAAAAGCTTCAAAACCTACCCGTTTGATCCTGTCGATTTTTAATCGTGCGCCTGTCTGTCGGAAGTAGTCATTGAGGCGGTCTTGTATATCCTGTGCATGCTCAGCTTTCTTCTCTTCATCCGGGATGTCTAGCAGGTGTTTAAGCTTGTGCTGTTTTTCTGTGAGTGCTTGTTGTACCGTGCGAAAAGCCACCTGTGGGTTGTACGTGCAATTAGTTTATGATATTAATATTAATAAGTGTTGATTTTCAAGTAATTTGCACCTGTCATAGGCTCGATTACCAGCCGCTGATCAGGAAAGGAGCCCGCGTTCCTCCCCGGGGAGGAACGTAGACCGGGCACGAGAGAGCGGCAAAAATCGAGCCTATACTATCACGGCAGAAAATCAAACACAGAGAGGAAAATAACTTCATGGTTAACGGTATGGACATCGCCAAGTAAGATGACAAATCGTTATGGCGACAAGTTTCATAGTGCTCGTAATATTATTACTGATTGAGTTATAACGTCAACGAGCGGAAAATGTCGCTCACTCCAAACAAAACTTGTCCAAATGGGACTAGTTTCTCTAAGTGTATGAGCATTTTTTCACAAGATGTTTTCAAATTAAACTGGGAAAATGGGATACTTCTGCCCGGTGTTTTATTGTCGTAACCATCTGGCACTTCATTGTATCTAAAAGAAGTGTAGAATTGCACTCACCACGACAACTGAGAAAAGAATTTTGTTTTTAATGTCTCCGTTATCATCCAGCTTGTCAAGAGATTCCAGGTCATCGAGCTCATCCATAGCATCCAGCCTTGTTTGCGTGTACAGGTTGTCATAGCGCTCCACTAGAGCGGACGGACGGCAATCACTCGCCGATAGGTCCTCGAATTTCCCTCCCTTTTTGAGCTGTCTTTGTGCCTGGTCTTGCAATCTGCAAGATATGAAATTAAACGCCTCGTCACTGGCCATTGGGAGAAACGTGTTAGGCACGTAACATGTCTTGTCATTGGTTATCTTGGTTAGCACCTAAATTTGATTGGCCATCATTGCAGCCCTCTATTTTGCCTTGCGTTTACCAAGCTGTTGGATTGTATGATGAACATCGAAGGGTTCTTTTTTGAAGTGTTTTCTAGCAAATTTGTGAGATCATCTTACCTGTCTATAAGATCCTTCTCCCTTTTTGTTAAATTTTGGACCATTTTCTGAGCTGCTTCAAGCTCTTTTTGTTTTTCCTCCAGCTGTTTGCGAAGGCTAGACTTTTCATCTGTTGGTTTTTGTGTGGAATCATCTGGACTTGGGTTCTTGCCTCGAGCTGACTCAACGTTCTGTGCATTTTCATTGTCACTCGAACTACTGACAGAACTCAGCGCCGAGAACTCTGCAAGAGAATTTGCCATAAGAAAACTGTTACTAATCAAAAGTCTAGACAAAAAAGGGGGGAAAACTGAGAGAATGAAATTTTTGCTGCCATCCTTCAGCTTGGATTCGTATCTGTTGTAGGTTAACTGATTTGCCAGCTCCATCCCTCTTAATTCAGTACTCGGTTTCTCTATCAAATCTTTCGCAGTTCACCATCAAATGTTTCTAGTGCATGAACTCGAGTTGTTATCGAAGAGAAACTTACCGTCGCTAGTTCTAGATCTTTTAGCAGTTCTTTACGATAACGACCTTGACATCATTTGTTTAATGCTACTACGATGAATTTCGCACCTGTCCTATCTAAGCCGTTTTGAAACATTGACAAAAAGTCTATACGAGAAGAAAAATGCTGTTTACTTTTTTACAATATCTCTTTTTGTTCCAGAAATCAACTTCGCTTCTTCTCTAAAGCTCTTTTTTTAATTAAAACAATACAGTACAATTGGATCACATACGAACAAAAAAAGAGAATGAAAAACAGTACACTACAATACATTACACTACACTCCCCAAAGTAGTTTGCCAACCCTTGCCACTCGACTGGGGACGAGATCGACAAAGACTAGCATTACCTGTTTCATCATCCAATTGAGTGACAGTGTCAAACACATCAGTGTCACTTCCGCCGCCTCCCTCCTCATTGGTGCTGACGTCACCAGACTCCGGATCACTCGCAGTCGTGTGAGTAATAGTGGGTACCTTGATTTTCCCCTCTGTTTTGACCACGCCCTTCTGCGACTCCTCCAAGAGCTGTAGTACCAGGCGGTGCCCGTGGTGAAATCTCTCCAGCAGCGGTAACACGTGCTCGTCACGTGATATGTTGAACTCCTTTCTAAGTTGGCTCAGAAGCTGAAGGACCTGTAGTGAGATGAGATGCTGAAATATAACTGCATGAGAAGATCTTATTCTCTTCGTTCTTTCCACCTTAGCTCACTTGATTTAATTCACCTTCTCTTATGTTTTGATTTCTAATGTTGAGAACATCTCTGTGACTTTGCGAACTGTGCGAGTACTTTGCTACCTGGTTTACAAAAGCACTTGGTTTGAAATAAACTGTATTTTTCTTCGCCTGGTAAGAGGGCTCCTAGAAAATAATGGAGTTTATCGTGCGCCAGTTTATATAACTTTTGCCCGGATTATTTGAAACCAATATGGCGTACCCTTGTTTCTGACGTTATATTGATATAAGAGCTTTTCAGAATACACCTTGCGTTCTTCTATTTTCCAAGTGAACTTTGAATGTTTAGAAGATTTCTCGCCTTGCCTCAGTTTTTGGTTTGTTTCCTTGATTTCAACGAATGTGATAACGGCTTTTTAGCTCTAATGGAAATTTTGTCAATATGTAACAAAAAATCTTCAAACAAAATTTTAGGAAATGTGGAGACCAGTAGGGACAGTTTGCATTTTGATCGTAAGACTAATTTGTGTTGTCAAAAATCAAGCCTGGTACTTTGTTCCTGTGTTCCATGAGAATAGCTTAACGATAAACTGTTTTGAAATTAAATATTATTTGCTTTTCATCGGATGACCTTTTTGTCTGACTAACAGCGGAATACCGCCTACCTCTTTGTCGTGGTTTATTCGTGCTTCTAACTTGTCAACTAAATCCGTTACTAGAAGTTTGTCCCTCGAATTTATCTGCACTGCATTAAACAGCGACTGGTTAAAGAACAGTCTGTCCTCGATGGATTGTCCTGACATTTTCCTCATGTACTGAGTGGTTTTGTCATCCATATCTGCTTGGCTGTGTCCTGCAATAGCTGACGACAACTCTGCACTATTGTGTGGAACGTTCAACAGAGCATCGGAGAGTTTTTGAAGAGCGTGCTTGTAATGACTCACGGCTCGTTCTAATTCCGTTTTCAAAGCCTCGTGCATTTTCATGTAATAAGTCGCAGATGATCGTGTTATAGTCTCGAGCAAGGCGTGCTCGGAGAATCCACTCAATGCCTTGGAAAACTGTTCCGCTCTCTGGACAAGCCGCTGGTGAAGGGAATCGTCCATTTGTGTACAAATGCTAAATATGTTTTTTATGTGTTCTCTCGAACGTGCGCTAGCAAATGTTTGGTTGTTGTATTTAAGAACGTCGACGAAGTACCTGACCAAGTGATGAACGAAATCGTCACTGCTTAGTCCATGATCGGGGAGTCGCCCCTGACGGTCATAAAATATCTTTGAGTAAAGCGCCTCAAGCGAAGCTAAACTGCTTGGAATATCAGCGTACAAGCTCTCAATGGACAAGTTGTCTAAAATAAGGACTAGTACATCTCCGGGAATTTGATTCACTATTCTGATCAATTCTTGATATTCTTTCCTCTCAATACGTAAGTTCACCTTTCCAATGACTTTTAGAACAAGTAGCTTGCCATCTTGAAGTGGATCAGGCCCTGATTTTGCAGAGATGGTGTCAAAGCTTCGCCTCTCTCGACTCGTTTTTCGCGGCGGTTGTAAACTATCGGCTAGTACGTTGTCGGGTAAGGAATTCGACCGACTGTGCCGCGAGCCAGTGTCTGTGGGGGACAAACTTTTGCGACTCTTTGACATTCTGTTGCCATCAAAGTTACCTCACAACACCAACGATCATCAACGATCGTGAGATCTTCTTAACAAATGATAAAATTCATATCCGTCAATTTCCGTTGCATTAGCATCAATAGCATTCATCGTGTCGTCTTAGTGTCGAGCATCGCTCGCGAGGCTTTGTTACACCTTGATTGATGGTTAAGCCCCCTTAATGCTGGTCATACACGCCTAGAATAACAGAGAAAGCTTTAAGTGAATGAACAACTAGATCAGGCAATCCATTCACTAATGGTCTTGAGCGAAAGTGCACATTACCGAAATGTAAATTTCTTTAGAGCCTATTCTTGCACATTGTTTGGCGGCCAAGGTGATTAATAACCCTTATTTACTTCTCTGTTACTGTTGACATAGATAAGAAGTTGGAATGCTGACTTGAATTCCTCTTTGATTTTAGAATGTAGAAGTCGAAACCAGCCAGCTTATGGGGATTTTATACGTTAAAAAGAAATGATTTAGGCATTAGTACGAAACGCGAAAATTATTTATGCATTTGTTCTTACGCTTGTGTTCAGACAGTTGTTTGTAAAATCCTTTGGAAACTTTCCTGTTAAAACAAAATAGAAGCAGCACAACAGGTTTAGACGAAGAGCCCGGATTTAAAACATGTCATTTTCCCAGTTCACGGTAACAACCACAGTGAAAAGCATTTGAGCAGTGAGCTTTTTTAAGTAAAACCTCGCAAACAATTCATGTGGAACTTAAAAGTTATAGTGCTCAGTGCTATGCGTACAAACTAATTACGTCTATCGGAAGCCATTTTAAGTTAAATTTGCTACTTTGTAGCATGTTTTGAAACGATTTCCCCGCTTGAAAAATGTACTTGACACATTGCCAACTTGTATCTTTGACTAATTGTCACCGGATTGTTGAATTAACACTGAAGCTTTTACAAGCAATGTAACATCCACCTGCCAGGCTAAAGGCAAATGATACAACACAACGAAAGGGTAAGCCTTGAGAAAAGCTGTTCTGTTGAGGTGCAGAGGAGGGCATTGATGCTGTAAAATTGCAGGTAACTGAAGTGACGCATAACTTATGACGTTTAGGAATGGTTTTTCGGTTGATTCCAGCTTAAGTGTCAAACGAAATTTATCGTCGCATTTACTGGCAAATAAGTCAGGAGTTCAGTTGTTTTCCATGGTCGCGAACTGCCGAGAAAGAGAACTATCTTTCTTGTAAGCAACCAGGAAATACGGCTAAAATTCACGCTTGTAACGAAGGACCTGTTCTCTGGCTTTCCAAAACAATGTATGAAAATGTATTGTTTATACCAAACTAAATGTTGTTCTTGGTAGGATCAGCAATACAACGTCCGTCTGTTTATGTTCTTACGGAAGATCTCTTATCTCCCCCACACTTTCAATTTTTTTTTTTCGCGTCGTTAAACGAGTATATTTTTTGTACTTAACGTTTTCTATTTTGCAATTTTCTGATTATTGTCAAGTTTTATTCATGCGTAAGTAATTACAAGTAATTAGGCACTGGGCTGGCTTCGCTATTGAAGTCGCCCTAATTTGTTTAATGCTTTAAAGCTTGTTTAAACAAAAACCATATTACAGTTCAAATCAGCATAATAAACTCCTTTTGAACTAGATATCAATGTGGCGAAACTTTGCCATCAGCTGTCATTCTATCCTGAAAGGCAACTTGTTTTAAATAGTTCGCTTTTGGCGGCTTTACTGTTCCTAGCAGTTTTGTTTTAGTTTCAGTAGCTTTTGATCAGGGGGCCCTCACTGACCGTGACGAAGAAGATCCGTTCCAGCTCGAGAAGTCATAACAATGTAAGTCCTTGAGGTTTAGTGCTTATCTCAATGATCTTTTGTCATGAGAACCAAATAGTTACGAATCAAGCATATCCAATCGCTGTCCCCCTTGTGCCATAACAAGTCCATGTAACTTTATTTAAATCAGCTCTTTCTTTCATTTTCACCACTTGCTTATTGTACATGTAAGATCGCCTGTACTGTCAATTAACTTGAGCGGACTGAAGTATTCGCATTAAGATCACTCACCGCAATATTCACTTGTCCAAATAACTCACAGAATTATTTTACCTCCCATCAGCGGCCTCTGAAGACCACTCGGCCAATCATGGAACACAACAGTGTAATTAACACTGTGGGTANAGAAAATCAAACACAGAGAGGAAAATAACTTCATGGTTAACGGTATGGACATCGCCAAGTAAGATGACAAATCGTTATGGCGACAAGTTTCATAGTGCTCGTAATATTATTACTGATTGAGTTATAACGTCAACGAGCGGAAAATGTCGCTCACTCCAAACAAAACTTGTCCAAATGGGACTAGTTTCTCTAAGTGTATGAGCATTTTTTCACAAGATGTTTTCAAATTAAACTGGGAAAATGGGATACTTCTGCCCGGTGTTTTATTGTCGTAACCATCTGGCACTTCATTGTATCTAAAAGAAGTGTAGAATTGCACTCACCACGACAACTGAGAAAAGAATTTTGTTTTTAATGTCTCCGTTATCATCCAGCTTGTCAAGAGATTCCAGGTCATCGAGCTCATCCATAGCATCCAGCCTTGTTTGCGTGTACAGGTTGTCATAGCGCTCCACTAGAGCGGACGGACGGCAATCACTCGCCGATAGGTCCTCGAATTTCCCTCCCTTTTTGAGCTGTCTTTGTGCCTGGTCTTGCAATCTGCAAGATATGAAGTTAAACGCCTCGTCACTGGCCATTGGGAGAAACGTGTTAGGCACGTAACATGTCTTGTCATTGGTTATCTTGGTTAGCACCTAAATTTGATTGGCCATCATTGCAGCCCTCTATTTTGCCTTGCGTTTACCAAGCTGTTGGATTGTATGATGAACATCGAAGGGTTCTTTTTTGAAGTGTTTTCTAGCAAATTTGTGAGATCATCTTACCTGTCTATAAGATCCTTCTCCCTTTTTGTTAAATTTTGGACCATTTTCTGAGCTGCTTCAAGCTCTTTTTGTTTTTCCTCCAGCTGTTTGCGAAGGCTAGACTTTTCATCTGTTGGTTTTTGTGTGGAATCATCTGGACTTGGGTTCTTGCCTCGAGCTGACTCAACGTTCTGTGCATTTTCATTGTCACTCGAACTACTGACAGAACTCAGCGCCGAGAACTCTGCAAGAGAATTTGCCATAAGAAAACTGTTACTAATCAAAAGTCTAGACAAAAAAGGGGGGAAAACTGAGAGAATGAAATTTTTGCTGCCATCCTTCAGCTTGGATTCGTATCTGTTGTAGGTTAACTGATTTGCCAGCTCCATCCCTCTTAATTCAGTACTCGGTTTCTCTATCAAATCTTTCGCAGTTCACCATCAAATGTTTCTAGTGCATGAACTCGAGTTGTTATCGAAGAGAAACTTACCGTCGCTAGTTCTAGATCTTTTAGCAGTTCTTTACGATAACGACCTTGACATCATTTGTTTAATGCTACTACGATGAATTTCGCACCTGTCCTATCTAAGCCGTTTTGAAACATTGACAAAAAGTCTATACGAGAAGAAAAATGCTGTTTACTTTTTTACAATATCTCTTTTTGTTCCAGAAATCAACTTCGCTTCTTCTCTAAAGCTCTTTTTTTAATTAAAACAATACAGTACAATTGGATCACATACGAACAAAAAAAGAGAATGAAAAACAGTACACTACAATACATTACACTACACTCCCCAAAGTAGTTTGCCAACCCTTGCCACTCGACTGGGGACGAGATCGACAAAGACTAGCATTACCTGTTTCATCATCCAATTGAGTGACAGTGTCAAACACATCAGTGTCACTTCCGCCGCCTCCCTCCTCATTGGTGCTGACGTCACCAGACTCCGGATCACTCGCAGTCGTGTGAGTAATAGTGGGTACCTTGATTTTCCCCTCTGTTTTGACCACGCCCTTCTGCGACTCCTCCAAGAGCTGTAGTACCAGGCGGTGCCCGTGGTGAAATCTCTCCAGCAGCGGTAACACGTGCTCGTCACGTGATATGTTGAACTCCTTTCTAAGTTGGCTCAGAAGCTGAAGGACCTGTAGTGAGATGAGATGCTGAAATATAACTGCATGAGAAGATCTTATTCTCTTCGTTCTTTCCACCTTAGCTCACTTGATTTAATTCACCTACTCTTATGTTTTGATTTCTAATGTTGAGAACATCTCTGTGACTTTGCGAACTGTGCGAGTACTTTGCTACCTGGTTTACAAAAGCACTTGGTTTGAAATAAACTGTATTTTTCTTCGCCTGGTAAGAGGGCTCCTAGAAAATAATGGAGTTTATCGTGCGCCAGTTTATATAACTTTTGCCCGGATTATTTGAAACCAATATGGCGTACCCTTGTTTCTGACGTTATATTGATATAAGAGCTTTTCAGAATACACCTTGCGTTCTTCTATTTTCCAAGTGAACTTTGAATGTTTAGAAGATTTCTCGCCTTGCCTCAGTTTTTGGTTTGTTTCCTTGATTTCAACGAATGTGATAACGGCTTTTTAGCTCTAATGGAAATTTTGTCAATATGTAACAAAAAATCTTCAAACAAAATTTTAGGAAATGTGGAGACCAGTAGGGACAGTTTGCATTTTGATCGTAAGACTAATTTGTGTTGTCAAAAATCAAGCCTGGTACTTTGTTCCTGTGTTCCATGAGAATAGCTTAACGATAAACTGTTTTGAAATTAAATATTATTTGCTTTTCATCGGATGACCCTTTTGTCTGACTAACAGCGGAATACCGCCTACCTCTTTGTCGTGGTTTATTCGTGCTTCTAACTTGTCAACTAAATCCGTTACTAGAAGTTTGTCCCTCGAATTTATCTGCACTGCATTAAACAGCGACTGGTTAAAGAACAGTCTGTCCTCGATGGATTGTCCTGACATTTTCCTCATGTACTGAGTGGTTTTGTCATCCATATCTGCTTGGCTGTGTCCTGCAATAGCTGACGACAACTCTGCACTATTGTGTGGAACGTTCAACAGAGCATCGGAGAGTTTTTGAAGAGCGTGCTTGTAATGACTCACGGCTCGTTCTAATTCCGTTTTCAAAGCCTCGTGCATTTTCATGTAATAAGTCGCAGATGATCGTGTTATAGTCTCGAGCAAGGCGTGCTCGGAGAATCCACTCAATGCCTTGGAAAACTGTTCCGCTCTCTGGACAAGCCGCTGGTGAAGGGAATCGTCCATTTGTGTACAAATGCTAAATATGTTTTTTATGTGTTCTCTCGAACGTGCGCTAGCAAATGTTTGGTTGTTGTATTTAAGAACGTCGACGAAGTACCTGACCAAGTGATGAACGAAATCGTCACTGCTTAGTCCATGATCGGGGAGTCGCCCCTGACGGTCATAAAATATCTTTGAGTAAAGCGCCTCAAGCGAAGCTAAACTGCTTGGAATATCAGCGTACAAGCTCTCAATGGACAAGTTGTCTAAAATAAGGACTAGTACATCTCCGGGAATTTGATTCACTATTCTGATCAATTCTTGATATTCTTTCCTCTCAATACGTAAGTTCACCTTTCCAATGACTTTTAGAACAAGTAGCTTGCCATCTTGAAGTGGATCAGGCCCTGATTTTGCAGAGATGGTGTCAAAGCTTCGCCTCTCTCGACTCGTTTTTCGCGGCGGTTGTAAACTATCGGCTAGTACGTTGTCGGGAAAGGAATTCGACCGACTGTGCCGCGAGCCAGTGCCTGTGGGGGACAAACTTTTGCGACTCTTTGACATTCTGTTGCCATCAAAGTTACCTCACAACACCAACGATCATCAACGATCGTGAGATCTTCTTAACAAATGATAAAATTCATATCCGTCAATTTCCGTTGCATTAGCATCAATAGCATTCATCGTGTCGTCTTAGTGTCGAGCATCGCTCGCGAGGCTTTGTTACACCTTGATTGATGGTTAAGCCCCCTTAATGCTGGTCATACACGCCTAGAATAACAGAGAAAGCTTTAAGTGAATGAACAACTAGATCAGGCAATCCATTCACTAATGGTCTTGAGCGAAAGTGCACATTACCGAAATGTAAATTTCTTTAGAGCCTATTCTTGCACATTGTTTGGCGGCCAAGGTGATTAATAACCCTTATTTACTTCTCTGTTACTGTTGACATAGATAAGAAGTTGGAATGCTGACTTGAATTCCTCTTTGATTTTAGAATGTAGAAGTCGAAACCAGCCAGCTTATGGGGATTTTATACGTTAAAAAGAAATGATTTAGGCATTAGTACGAAACGCGAAAATTATTTATGCATTTGTTCTTACGCTTGTGTTCAGACAGTTGTTTGTAAAATCCTTTGGAAACTTTCCTGTTAAAACAAAATAGAAGCAGCACAACAGGTTTAGACGAAGAGCCCGGATTTAAAACATGTCATTTTCCCAGTTCACGGTAACAACCACAGTGAAAAGCATTTGAGCAGTGAGCTTTTTTAAGTAAAACCTCGCAAACAATTCATGTGGAACTTAAAAGTTATAGTGCTCAGTGCTATGCGTACAAACTAATTACGTCTATCGGAAGCCATTTTAAGTTAAATTTGCTACTTTGTAGCATGTTTTGAAACGATTTCCCCGCTTGAAAAATGTACTTGACACATTGCCAACTTGTATCTTTGACTAATTGTCACCGGATTGTTGAATTAACACTGAAGCTTTTACAAGCAATGTAACATCCACCTGCCAGGCTAAAGGCAAATGATACAACACAACGAAAGGGTAAGCCTTGAGAAAAGCTGTTCTGTTGAGGTGCAGAGGAGGGCATTGATGCTGTAAAATTGCAGGTAACTGAAGTGACGCATAACTTATGACGTTTAGGAATGGTTTTTCGGTTGATTCCAGCTTAAGTGTCAAACGAAATTTATCGTCGCATTTACTGGCAAATAAGTCAGGAGTTCAGTTGTTTTCCATGGTCGCGAACTGCCGAGAAAGAGAACTATCTTTCTTGTAAGCAACCAGGAAATACGGCTAAAATTCACGCTTGTAACGAAGGACCTGTTCTCTGGCTTTCCAAAACAATGTATGAAAATGTATTGTTTATACCAAACTAAATGTTGTTCTTGGTAGGATCAGCAATACAACGTCCGTCTGTTTATGTTCTTACGGAAGATCTCTTATCTCCCCCACACTTTCAATTTTTTTTTTTCGCGTCGTTAAACGAGTATATTTTTTGTACTTAACGTTTTCTATTTTGCAATTTTCTGATTATTGTCAAGTTTTATTCGTGCGTAAGTAATTACAAGTAATTAGGCACTGGGCTGGCTTCGCTATTGAAGTCGCCCTAATTTGTTTAATGCTTTAAAGCTTGTTTAAACAAAAACCATATTACAGTTCAAATCAGCATAATAAACTCCTTTTGAACTAGATATCAATGTGGCGAAACTTTGCCATCAGCTGTCATTCTATCCTGAAAGGCAACTTGTTTTAAATAGTTCGCTTTTGGCGGCTTTACTGTTCCTAGCAGTTTTGTTTTAGTTTCAGTAGCTTTTGATCAGGGGGCCCTCACTGACCGTGACGAAGAAGATCCGTTCCAGCTCGAGAAGTCATAACAATGTAAGTCCTTGAGGTTTAGTGCTTATCTCAATGATCTTTTGTCATGAGAACCAAATAGTTACGAATCAAGCATATCCAATCGCTGTCCCCCTTGTGCCATAACAAGTCCATGTAACTTTATTTAAATCAGCTCTTTCTTTCATTTTCACCACTTGCTTATTGTACATGTAAGATCGCCTGTACTGTCAATTAACTTGAGCGGACTGAAGTATTCGCATTAAGATCACTCACCGCAATATTCACTTGTCCAAATAACTCACAGAATTATTTTACCTCCCATCAGCGGCCTCTGAAGACCACTCGGCCAATCATGGAACACAACAGTGTAATTAACACTGTGGGTAACCTCAACGACGACTTGGTGTTCCTCCACGAGTTCCAATTCGACAACAATAACAGCGACATAACACCGTCACTAAGTGAATATGAACTGCAGAAAATCAAGGAAGATCTGGGAATGCTCGATAATGGCGGTGAATTTGATTCCTCCAACTTACCCTTACCGTCTATCTACGTCGACGGCAACACACCGACTCCATTTGACTTCCCGCTGACGGAAGAAGAGCGCGCTCTGCTGGAGCAGTGCACGATCGGCTCTCCTCGGCGCTTTTCCGACTCTCCCAGCGTGTGCTCGACATCCCTGGAGCTACTAGCGGACAGCTTGATTAAAGACTTTGAAGACATGGATTCTGACCAAGATCAAGAACAGGCAAGGCAAGCAGGAAATTTTTCCACAAATTCTACTTCCTTCAAGGTGCATGATCGGAAAACACCGTCCCCTCCGGAAGAGAGGGATTTAGAAAAGTTCCAGCGAGCCGAAGGAAGCTCGAGGTCCGAAGCTTTAAAATTAAGCGAAGACAGAAATGAAAATTTCAGGAAACCGGATGGCGTACAGAATTCAAACTCGAGTGAAAGTTCAGACTCTCGCCAAATGAACGAAACCGTGGAGACTTCATCGAACTCGGCATCAGCGTTATCGCGGAATGGCCAGGAATCCGTGCAAACATCGCGGTCTCCTTCGCTCGATTCCGACTCACTATCGGCTTCCATCGATTCTGGTCTGCCAGTCAAAGATGTGCACATTCCTCCACATCAGTACTTTGTGGTGGTAGCCATAGACTTTGGAACAACATTCAGCGGCTATGCTTTCGCTTTTACTCGCGATCCAGAAAGCGTTCACATGATGCGACGCTGGGAAGGAGGTGACCCGGGTGTTACAAACCAGAAAACACCGACAACCTTGCTGTTGAAACCTGATGGAAGTTTCCACTCGTTTGGATTCGGCGCGCGGGATTTTTATCATGATTTAGAGCCAGACGACGCCAAGAAATGGATGTACTTTGAGAAGTTTAAGATGTCTCTACACACAAACAAGGTACAGCTATGATTATCAACTTTGTTTACCTCAGTTCCTTTCCCAACCTTGTCTTCGATAAAGTACCTGTTAATTTTTGTCTTTGATTGAAAAATAAGGAGGCCGGATGATTCGTTTCACTTCTTTAATGATATATTTGCTCATCCCTAAATGTAAGAAGGTAATTGAAATCAAGATTATTCTTGAACCTGTGATTGTGACTATTTAAATAAAATTCCTGAACTTGCAAAGAACTAATTAAGAAAAACTCTGCGATCTTCAACTACTTACATTAAACCAACATTTTTTTCTTTCAATTCGAAATTTTCATTTATTTTAACCCACCAACTAATGGATCTAAAGATTAAAAAATACTTGAGCATATTTCTAAGGCATTGATCATTACTGACAATATAACGCAATGTATGATCGTTCTTTTCATTGATATATCTCAGCTAGACTGACATTACAGCCTCATGACTAACACTGCTGTTAAACAGCTCGTATGCTATTTTATTTTTTAACAAGATGATTTATTTGTTGAAGTTACACCACATATTTCCGAAAACAAGCTATGTTTTGTGAAACTGCGTGAAACCACCAACATGTTTGAGTATTTTTGTTACAAAGACCGCAGCCGGCACAATGTTGAATGAGATTGTTTATATATTCAATTAATGTTTACATTAAGAGACACTTCATCGTGAAATATTTATGAAAAGCGGCTGGTCGAGAAGACTTACATTAGATTTGTTTTCCGTCGTAAAATAGGGCCATAAGTAATGTTTCTACGTAAAATGTTTGAATTATTACTTTTTCTTAAACCATTTCATTGTAGGATCTCCACAAAGATGTAGAGATCAAAGCTGCTAACGGCAAGGCAGTGAGGGCCGTGACCGTCTTTGCGCATGCACTAAAGTTCTTCAAAGATCACGTGCTGGAGGAGCTGTCTGACCAATCAGCTACCAAGATTCTGGAAGAAGACATTCAATGGGTTCTCACCGTCCCTGCCATCTGGAAGGCACCTGCAAAGCAGTTCATGAGGACAGCGGCGTACGAGGTGAGTCCACTTCATGTCTCGTATTGTCGTATGCATATTTCTTCGGAGTTTGCGATTGGTTGGAACGCTTCCGATAAAGCCAACTAGTGGTGAGCCGTTTAAATTAGACTTGGATGCCGTCGAACTATACTATTTACCAACCCAAAGTAGATTTACTGGAGTAGATCTGACCATGCTTTTCCACAAGGAACAGGCATTACCGCCTGCATAACGAGTGCAGAAAATTATTGTAAAAGGCCTTTGCAAAATTGGTCACGTGACCGATAATTTTTAAACTTTTTGTTACCGACAGCGACATGAATTTCAGAACTGGAAAAAGCATGTTTCAAATAGCCAGAACACCAATTTTCAGACCAATGCCATTTCAGGTTGAGATTTAAAGAAGATTTGAATTTTGTAAGATTAGGAAGGTTTTGTATTTAAGCGAGGAACCTTGGCCCTCCAGAAACCTTTTCCTTTACTAATCAGAAAAAAAGGAAGCTACTTGCATATAACAATTAGAGATAGAAAGACGGGTAAAACATTAGAAAGAATTGAAAATTTTAGGCTCCTTAAACAAAAAGGCACAGATTTTATGGCAGTTTGAAAACTTTCAGAGTTATAAGGATTTGTATGGAAAGCCATTGGAGTGTGACAGGAGGGCAAAGCGTCTTCTTCCGGCACAAATCCTTCCAATTTCTAACGTTCATGATAACAATTTCCTCTTAAAGGATATTAACCTGAAACATTTGCATGTGAGCTTATTTATAAATGTTATTTCCATTTCTGATAACATTACGCATTACCAGTGACTAAATCAGTGTGCTCTTGAAAAGCACGTCATGTGACCAACTGCTGCAGAAAGCTCAATGTATTTAATCTATTTTTACACTCGAACATTCCACTCTTAACCGTAAACCACTCGAGTGCTACAAATCCTGCTTGGTTTAAATAGTATTACGAGGTGGGTAGACATTCTGGTTTTTGTGGTTGAAACTGACTGGAAAAAAAAACTGTTGAGTTTTTTGGTGATAAACAAGACGAAAAGGAATTCGTTGGATCAAAATCAAAAGCGACCCACTAGAATGGTGTTGTCTGTTGTGTCTTAATTTTATTTATTCAAGTTTTTTTTTCGGTCTACATGCGTCGCCAAGGAACTGCACACGTAACTGTAAAGTCCTTGGCACTGCGGTCAGTCACTCACCTGTCTGTTTAAGGGATTTATTTATCGGTGGTTTGTGTGTGGTGAGGACCACGACTGACTAGGGTTGTTATAGCAGGTGTCCACTTATTGAAAGTTGTAAATGTACTTATATTGGTGTCCGTCTGGGTGTCCACTTAGCAGAGGTATGCGCTCCCAGAAGGTGTTTCCTATCTGAAATTAAACTGTGTATACCGAAGATGTTTCTTCTTGTTAAATTTCAAAACAGTGATAAAGTAGATTATTATTTATAATCTGAATTGTCACTCCTTGGTGGCCGCGAGGCGCCACATGACTAAATAATCAAATTTATTGAAAAACATCTTACTAGCTACAGAATTTAAAATCGTGCCAAAAAATCAAAGATATCGGGATTTTTTAAACAAGCTCAGTAACAGAAATGTGCTACCTTTATTCTTGAAGAGAAAATTAATAATAAATAACATTACTAATTAACAAAAAAAGAGAAAAATCGTGCTAGTTTAAACCCCACTTACTGCTGAGATTACTAAAGAAATTTTTCAAATATTTCGCTTTAAAAGTGTAGTTCCGTGTAGTAAAGGACACGTTCGTTTACATTCCATACCTACATTACAAATGTCAATCCAAATGTACACGAATAATTGTGGGGGTCTTTTGCGGTTTGGTTGTTTTGTTCTTTTCCGGTGTACCTTGAAAACATCCCAGTACTGGTAATTAATTTGCCCCATTCCACTGAAATGTCTTCATACCAAAGAAACGGTACTTTTGTTACAATTTTAAGAAATCACACCATAATGATGTTTCGTTTATGTGGCCTATTCCAGAAGGAAACCGTCACAACTGTGTTGAAATCAGCACCGTTGTGTTTGTAGTTTCGTTCGGTAGAAGTGGAGTGATGAACTGAAAGACTCAAAAAGGCACTTTCAAAGATTGATTTCGCTTTCTAAATGTACAGCATTGGCTTATTGTGAAGTTGTTTCCAGTATCTATTATATATTAAAGAATGGTGCATCTAAACTGGCGTTTGGCAGAGCATGTTCAAATGTCACGCCACGTTGAGAATGTACAATAGTGTCTGGTGTACAGGGCCACTTAAGAGAGTACTTGAATTCCAAAGACATCGAAGCTAATAGCAGGGACTTGTCTCTCTTGACTGTACCTTCTTTGTTCTTCTTGCTTAAGACAGTATGACGGTCAGACAGCGGTTAAAATTGTGACAATCAACTTGAAAAATGTATAGTGTATTAATAGTTGCGAAAAATTATAACTTGAACTGGAGCATTTTTTCTTGTGCTCGCGTCGAATGTTCACGAAAACTCTCCCTTGATTTGTCAAGCATATTCACTCCTGCTGCTGAATAAACTTGCGATTGGTGCTGGAGGTGAATTGTTAACGTACGGAAAGTTGTTCTCTGTAAATAACTTCTTCAGGATGTAAAGTTCGCTTACTACCACTACGGCAAGCGATCCAAACACAATACATTCAAGTACTACCATGACACTGCAGTTGACTTATCTCGGGTACACCACTGCACACCGCTGAATATTGCAAATGTTACATTTTTGCCGAACTTTGTCGATATCAACTTCGAAGATGTGCCGTGCGCAATTTGGAACAAATCCAATTAAGGAAAATTGGATGCAAGGCTCAGAAGGAGCTCTCAAAATTGATCAAAACTAAGTTCTCCTTACAGTATCTGCACACTAGCAAGAAGACAGGTGTTGAGAATATATCAAATCATCCACTAAAGAATAGGATGTTGATTTGCCACCAAATTCTCACAACATACATTTGAAGTATGAGGTTTTCAGTCAGAAGAAATATTTCAGCACTTAAAAGAAAGTTTATAACGTAGTACGTGCATAAAAAACTTTTCCTTTTCGATCGTAAAATGAGGACAAAATTTTAATTGATTGTATATAACTTTACTGGACATTTCCCAAGAGAAAAAATTACAGGCTCAGTGCAATATGTGCTTTGTTAAAACATACAACTTAAAAATGATAGTGTTCCATCGATCGGCGATTTAATTTCACATCTTTTTGCACAGCAAAAGCTAAAAAATCCTTACTCTAAGCAAATCTACAAGATTACTATTCCACAGTCTATTATATAATGTATTTCATTGTCCAGTCGCTGTTGATCCATCCGTACCAGTCTCGTCCTGTTACGCCATTGAGATGAGTTTCCAAAACACCGATGCGATAGGTCTATACATTCTAAAACAAATCACAAAACATTGCAGTAAACATACTCAGGCTGACCAAACGCAGTGCAGTTGCAATCTTTCTAACACAGCTAGGAGTTAAAAAATATTGTCTTGACAACTTGATACTTGGAAAAAAAAATAACGATGACAGTCAGTGAGGGTTTTTTTGCAATATTCCATCTGTTGGATGTCGTTTCGTTCGCTATTTTGCCGCCGCCATCAGTGCCAAAGCTTCCCCTCTGGAAACAAAAAGTGGGCCGTACTTCAGATATGGTAGGTCATCACCGCGGCAAATTTTTCTCAGGATATAAGCTTCTACAGCCACAACCACTGCTACAGTAGTTACAACGAAAACCTCTATGAATACCATGTCTGTTATGTACGGTTTTTATTCGCTCTCGAACAGCAATCGGTATATAATTATTGCGAGCTGGTTTCACTCTGCTCAGAAAATGTTGTTTGTGCAGAATTCGAGATGTTTTGAAGTTTTGTGGTTGGTGGTTGGAAGAAAGCCACTTTTTAAGCCTGCCACCTGCACGTCCTTATTTAAACGCGAGTAAACATAGTGTTTTTGCTGACGTTGAAGGCATAATTAATGCCAAAGGATTATAAATGCATGACCTGTTCTGCTGATGAACACGTTTTCTTTTCTGTACGTTTTGAAGCAAACAACCAGCAATGTTGAAATGTTTATTTTTAACAAAGACTATGTATTAAGCAGCTAAAAGTTCCTCTCAAAATATATCTTGGCTTGGCAGGCAGAAAACCTCGATTCCTCCATAGGGGCATTTTAGTCAATTCCATATCTGTTGAACATTTTACCTTGGGCGCTTCCTTTCAACCAAAAATTCGGAAAATTCAGACAGAAAATCGAATGGAACAGAAACTCAGCATAATAAGATTTTTCGAAAATTTCAATTAACCTCGCGAGGGGCGCTTCCCATTCAACCAAAAGTTTTGATAATTTTCTAACGGGGACAAATGGTATGGAAATTTCCTGGGAAAGTTTCCAGAAAATCGAAAAATGTTCGAAAAGCGAACCATTGAATCGAAAATTCCGGGAAGAAAGTCAAATGGAAGGGAAATTCCCGCTACGAAATTTCCGAAAATTTCGGTATGCCTCGCAAGGTTGTCCATTCATCACTGAAAATTTCCAGAAATTCAAGGGGGAATTTTTTTATCGAATGAAAAGCGCCCGAGGTTATCCTCTTTCTGTAAATTCAGGGAAATGTTGTTCCATTCGCCGCTGGAACTTTCAGAAATAGTTCAAACTGGAATTTTTGGTCGAATGGGAAGCGCCCATTTCCACCTTATCTTGTGTATGTATATGCACAATATTTACGTTGGTGCGTGGTAAACTTCACAAAACATGCCAGCGCTATTTCATCATCACTCACTAATGTTTTTTTTTTCGCTACCTGTTTCTTAACAAATAGTATTAAATATTGATGTTGGTATGTAGTGAATCTGCCTTGAGCAGCACAAAAGTTTCATTTAGCCGATAGTCATGTGACTTGCTCTCCCCCAATGTCAGCAACTTTCTCCAATTCTATATTTTTCACAATGCTTATAACTTACTGGCAACAAACCCACTGGAGGAAGACTAAAAATATATGAGCTTGTGGATTG